TATCGCCGAATGTGTGTGGGTGTGGAGGGCAGAGGTGGGGGGTGGGGGGTGGGGGGGCGGGGGGGGGGGGGGGGGGGGGAGGGGATGGCGATGCGGGGTGGAACTCGGAGGTGGCGACCTGTGGTTTGTGGTATGCTGTTGGAGAAGATCGGGGTGGGTGGGGGTGGCGATTTCTGCCGTGGCGCGGGCTGGGCTGGGATGTCTCATCGGCGCGCATGCTCGCGTGCAGGGGCGGGCCCAGAAGCCGATCACACACTCACTCCTGCCATGTTCTCCTGCCTCGTGCAACGAGACCGTTTTGCTCGGCAGATGAAGCGCGGTTGGTGGTTTACTCCTTTGCTGGTCTTGGTGGGTCTGGCGGTGATGGCGGTGATGGCGGTGGCGGGACGTACGTATCCGTCGCACTGGAGCTGTGTGGACGTCGATTCAGGAAGCGTGGGAAGCGGGCGCGTGGCGTGGCGACAGATCAACTGCACTGGCTCGGGAAGGGCAGAGGACAAGCTTGGAATCATCCGCCCTTGGCATGTTGGCCCGCTTGTCTTCAATCTAGTCGAGGCGGCGCTGGACGGCCCGCGCGCGGTGGCGATGCGGGCAGCTGTGGCGCCGATGAGTGACGGCCAGCTAGCGCCGCTACCGGCGATCGCCCAGGGCGTCCCTGGTGCAGTTGCCGCCATTAACGGGGGCTTCTTCTTTCGTCTCGACGACAAGTCGTTTGTTGACGATGTGTGCTGGACCAAGGATCGCGCCGAGGCCGCCCGCAACGTCTCGGCCGACCATCCGAGCTGGGGCATTGGGGACTGCGCCACAGTCATCGATGGCGTCGCCCACTCGTACAACTGCGACAAGCCCGGCTACGCCCGTCCGGCGGTACTTGTCATGGACGGTGCCAGCTCGCACATTGGCGTCCTGCACCGCGGTGAGCAGGTTCTGCCCGGCACGCGCCATGCCCTCGCCGCCGGGCCCATCCTTGTCAACGATGGCGAGTTTGCCATCCCCGAAGACGATCTCAACGTCAACATCTGGTCACACTCATCCAACAGCGCGCTCGGACTCGTCTCCTCCGCGGGCGGTGTACTCTCCGTCGCTCTCGTTGTGGCCGACGGCCACGACGGATGCCACGCCGACGATCCGACTTGCGGCATCTCGGCTGCTCCCATGGCCTACTTTCTCAAGGACGTTGTCGGCGCGTCATCAGCCATGGCACTTGACCAGGGCGGCTCGTCGACGTTGTGGATCAATGACGCTCCCGGCGTCGGCCCTGGCCGGGTCATCTCCAACCCCGGCTCCGGCCTGCGCCACATCTTCAACGGCCTCTTCTTTGTCGAGCCGTAGCAGCCCATGTCGTTACCTGCACGCAGAGATCCGACGTAGTCCATGATGGATGAGATGGCGCTCTTGCGACAGATCCCCCCTAACTTGACTCACCCGGGCTTGCCATCCATCACCCGCCACAATCACGCCCGTCACACGTTCATGCCCAAGAAGTGTCCATCATCTTACCACGTCTCCTGGGCCACGCCATGGGCCTTGCTGTCACTACGACCAAAAGGCAGCAAAGGAAGAAAAAAAGGAACTGTCACCCATTGTCGGCCTGCGTGGAACCACAGAAAGTGTGGCACTTGCTCCTGGCACCCAACCCGTGGTGCCCCCCCCCCCCCCTGCTTGCACCTGCACCTCACTCACCTCGCATGGCAGACGAGGACGGTACAACCACATCCCCTCCTGAGGTTGGACCCGAGGGAGAGGGGAACATCCCAGATGGGCAGCATGTAGAGCGGTGGAGTGCCGAGGAGGTGGGCCATTGGTTGGCCTCCCTGCCCGAGGTCCACCTTGACGACCAAGTCATTGCTGCTGTGGTTGCCGAGGGCATTGATGGTGGTGTGCTGGACATGGTCGATGTCGATGTGCTGGACAAGGTCGGTGTGCCTACCATTGGTCTTCAACTCAGAGTCCTTAAGGCCATTCGATCGCTCCTTGCTGCCTCGGGTGTCTGCTCTCCTGCTGGCCTCCCCGGCCCGCCCACCCCGCTCCGTGGCCTGCTCTCGCCGGCTTTGTCGTCATCGACGGTCTCGCAATCGCCAGCATCGACATCAGCCCCTTCGCCACTTGCCCGGACAAGGAGCATGGCATCGGGCGCTGGCACTGATGTGGCAGGCCCGTCGGCAGAGGCGAGCATGGAGGTTGATCCGTATCTCAAGGCTGGGCGCGCGGCGGCCGAGCAGATGATCCGGGTGGCGGCGTCGATGGCCCACATCTCGCCGTTCAACTACGAGACGCAGCAGCCAGCCACAGGCTGGAAGTTTGCCAAGCTCAACCGTGGCGTCCTCATCTACAAGCGGACCATGCCCGGCTCGGCCTCGCACGCCTTTCTGGGCAAGGGCGTCGTCGGCGTCCCACCCGAGTCGGTCTACCATGTCCTGGCCAACCCGCACTCGCGCCGGTTCTACAAAAGACACTCAAGTCGCTCGACGTTGTTGTCAAGCTCTCCGAGGACGAGCACCATTGCTGCCAGATCGTCCATGCATTTCACGTCACCTCGCGGTGCCTGATGAAGCACGCTCGCGATTTTGCGTGTGTCATGTACAACGGCGTCACCAACTCGAACCGGTGCTTTGTCTCGGCCACCACCGGCGCGGTCCACCCGCTCTGTCCGCACATGGACGGCGTTGTCCGCGGCCATGTCAAGGCCTCATCCTGGTTTGTCGAGCCGTACGGCGAGGCCGACTCGATGGTCACCTTTTTCTCGCATGTCGAGTTTGGTGGCCGCCTGCCGACCTCGGTCGTCAACCTCGTCTCCATCGGACAGCCCATGTGCATCTACCAGCTCGGCCTGCTCATGCTAGAGCGCAAAAAGCTGACCGCTCTTCTCCAGCCGCCGCGTCCGCCGCTCGAGGCCCTTGCTCTCTGCAAGCCGTATCTCACCCCGCACGAGCAGTCGGAGATCCTCGGCTACGACCTAGTCTACTTTGCTGGGCCCTACGCACGCAAGCGCGGGCCGACGGCCTCGTCACTCAAGACCGCAAAGCGCGTCGGCCTCGACGAGCTCTCCGTCGGTCTCCTCACAACCTCGGCCGCACTCGGCGACGATGCCTTTCTTGACTCGTTCGACACTCCCGACGGCGAGTACGCGCTTTCGGTCCACGACCACATCGCCTTTCGCTACGAGGTCCTTGGCATGCTCTCTTGCGGCGTAACCTCGCAAGTTGTCAAGGTCTTTGACCACAAGACCCACACCACATGTGGCATCAAGATCATCAAGAACAAGCGCGTCTTTCGCCACATCGCCCTCTCGGAAATCGGGCATCTGAACGCTGTCGCCCGTGGCCGCGAAGCGCTCACCGATGACACCTTTGACGTCGCCGCCGCGCTCGCCGCTGCACCACATCCGCCCGACGCTGCACCCGCCGACACCGACATTGCGCGCGCTGTCCTCGCCGTCGGCGCCGACTCGATCGGCGGGCTTATCCGCCACTTTGAGTTCCGCGGGCATCTGTGTATGGTCTTTGAGCTCATGAGCTCTAACCTGCTGAATGTGGTCAAGGTCAACCGCTACTCGCGTAACCTGACCATGCTTGCGCTGCAGGACATGGCCATCCAGGTCACCTCGGCGCTTGCCCTCCTGCACGCTCTTCAGATTGTTCACTGCGACCTCAAGCCCGAAAACATCCTCGTCCGGAACCCGGCTGCCACCGACGTCAAGGTCATCGACCTCGGCTCTGCACCTCGGAGCTGGCAGGCATGCGAAATACCCAGATGTATATCCAGACCCGCTACTACCGCGCGCCCGAGATCGTCCTCGGCTCGACGTTTACCACTGCCATCGACGTGTGGTCGCTCGGCTGTGTGCTCGCCGAGGTCTACACCGGCCGCCCGCTCTTCCCAGCCCGCCACGAGTCAGAGCTGCTCCTTCTCATCCGCGACATCCTTGGCGATCCTCCGCAGTCGGTCTTGCGCGCTGCCACCCGCCGCGAGCTCTTGGTCATGGGCGTCAGCGCCGACGACCCGCAGCTGCAGCTCCGTGATATGCGCTCGTTCGCACCTGGCCGCCGCGTGCCGACACCGGCCAACCTCAGCACCGCCCTTGGCTGCCACGACCCCTCTTTGTCGACTTTCTCTCGGCTTGCCTCGCCTGGGATCCTGCCGACCGCTGGCCTGCGCTCGCCCTACTCTCGCATCCGTGGCTCGCCCCGCGCTTCCGTGACCGCTTTGCCCCGCACCTCGCGCCACCATCGGTCGCCTCTGCTAGCGCCGCTGGCGATGCCGCCGGCCCCTCGGCCACCATCCTCTCGCCCGATTCGGCCGCTCCGCCACCATCGTCGCGCCCGATATCGTCGGTCACTGCGGGCTCGTCCAGCACTGCCGTGTCATCGTCGATGGTTCCGCTCCAGTCCACACTCGCCGACGTCCCACCGTCGTCCGAGCACGTCCAGGAGCTGCTTTTCCGCAAGGAGGACTATTTTACCGTCTGATCACCTGCTAGCCCACTCACACCTCATTGGCTGCAGCTCGCAGCTGCAGTGCCTTCGCGAGCTTGATGCCGAACGGGAGCAGACTCGCCTCATCATGCTTGATCAGGGCGAGAGTGAACTCTTCCAGCGATGACCTCGGGAGCGCCTCCAGGAATCGAGCGAGCGAGGTAAAGTCTGAAATCGACGACGCAAGCACCGTAGAGGAGGGATTGCTACCCGCCCCGCCCCGTCATCGTCGCCACCGCCAATGCCCCGCCCCCGTCATCGTCGCCACCGCCAATGACACCATTGAGTCCGTCGTCGAGTCCGTCGTCGAGCCCGTCGTCGAGCCCGTCGTCGAGTCCGTCGTCGAGTTCGTCGTCGAGTCCTTCGTCGAGCTCGGCATCAAGTCCGTCGTCGAGCTCGTCATCGAGTTCGGCCTCGAGCTCGTTGTCGTCAAGCTCAGCCTCGAGCTCGTTGTGGTTGTCCTCGTTTGCAAGGGGCTTGTCATCATGGGAGCGCGGCAGAATGATCGATGCAAACTCCATTGCTGCCACGCCATCGTCGTCGTCCAACTCGTCCAACTCTGGATCGTACACACCACTCGGCGCGGACACCTTGATGACCGGAGGCTGCGGGGGATGTCGTCGTCGAGGTCGTCCAGCAGGCCATCATCAAGTGCATCGTCCTCATTGCCGTCGTCTTCGTCGCCAATCTCTGCGAGCTCCTCCGCCCCTAGACCGTCGTCGTCAAGGTCGCCTTCGAGATCCCCGTCTTCTTCGGCCTCGCTGTTGCTGCCTCCCTCAACCTCGCCATCGTCATCGTCGCCGAGATCCTCCTGCTCCCCATCGCTGCCGTTCACATCCGGCTCGCTGTCGCCATCATCGTCGGGCCATGGATGGGTCTCGTCTGCGACCCCGCCTCGGTCTCAGATTCGGGCGCCGGCTCAAGCTCGGCCTCGTGCTCTGGCTTTGGATCCGGCTTGTGCTCACGGTCGCGCTTCAGCTCACTTGGAAGCTCGTAGTACGACATCAGAGCGTACGACGGTGCGTGCCCGAGCTTTTGCAGCCCTGACGAGGTAGTGGGTACCGCCAAGTGTACGGCAGACGAGGCTTGAGCCTGAGCCTGGGCCTGGGCCTGGGCCTGGGCTTCAGCTTGGACCTGGGCCCGAGCTTGGGCCTGCGCCTGAAAGTACATGTGCTGCTGGTACATCATGAGGCGCTCGGCCTCCTCGCGCGCCTCCTGGGCGGCCATGGCGGCCTCCTGCACAAACATCTCTTGCTGGCGCAGCAAGTGCTCGTTGTAGAGAACCTGCTGCCGGCGGAGAAAGTCCATCTGGTGGCGGCGGACCTCGGTGTCGTCCATGACCGGCAGCGGCGGGAGAGCGCCAGCAGCGGCGGCCTCGGGCGAGACAAACGAGACAGCCATGGGCTGCAGCGCACTAGCATCGTCATCATCATCGTCGTCCGCGTCGCGAACACAGGCCTTGCCAGTGCCGTCATCCTCTGCGTCGCTGTGATGTTCGGCATCGTTGTTGGAGCTGGTACCGTCGTCGGCAGAGAGCAGCGCTGTCCTAGTCCGGATCAGCGACGCAGCCGGAGCCACGGGGTCTGCAGGATCGTAGACAATGATGCGGACTTGATGTGGATGGAACGACTCGTAGAGGTAGATGATGTCTCCGTCATGGACCTGGACAGCGTCACCCTTGGCAAGTGCAACACGATCGGCAACGTTTTCCATGCAGCGGAGCTGGATCTCGTTGAGGCCAACCGAGGCGATGCTGAGAACTCGGGCATGCGGATCCCACAGAGTATGGAAGGAGGATCGAGAGACATGGGTGTCATCGATGGCGAGATTGAGGCGACCAAAGGTGGCCTTTCCGGGCGGGACCACCACCGGCTCGCCTTCCATGGGCAACAGATAGCAGTTTGCCCTCAGTGCCGTCCCCAGCCGAGTCTCTTCTTCTTCTTCTTCCCCTCCCACCCCGGTCCCAGCACCAGACACCGTCCTGTCCCCGTTTCCTTGCCCAGCGCTAGTCCCCGAGCCGAGACCACGAGCACGCTTGGTAGGCGACTCGGAGGAGAGGCCAAGAGCCGAGCCATGACCAAAGCTATTATCTCCCTCTCCCCATCCTCTCCCACGCTCACCTCTTCCCCACCTTCCTCTTCCTCTCCAAATCTCCCTTGCCTACCCATGCCTATTCCCGAAGCACCACTCTCATCATCTTCCTCCCGCTCGCGCTTTCGCCCGCCATTACCTTGCCCTCCTGACATGGCGTAAAGTCGTCGACGTCGTTGGTTCTTTGCCATTCGCTGCTGTCGAGTCGCACAAGGGCCGAGCCGAGTCGCATACGGGTCGAGTCACGCCTTTGGGCTGAGATGGAGGCCGACTAGGAGGGGGGGATTGGGTTGCTTTTATGTCAATCATCGTGATCGTGGTATTTTCCCCATGATGGGATGAGACGGCACGTAATCTAGGCGCGTGTAGGCATGTGGATGTGAGGCACGGAACGATGCAAGGCCAGCGGCGGTCAGGTCGGTGACGGAATGTGCGGCGGAAGGCAGCACAGCCGCAAGTCATCTTACTGCAAGTGGCGCACACGGCACAGTGCACGTTCATCTGCACGGTGCGAGCGGCTATCACTCGTCGGCGCCAAAGGCAAAACCGCCAGGCCGGGCGGGCGGGGCATCAGGATTGTTACCGGCAACAGGAGCCGGTGCCGGCGGCTGTGCGCGAATGTCGCCACAGAGGACGCGGAGAAAGTGCGGGGTGGCCAAGAGGTGGCGGCCTGAGGTGGCTGGGTAGATGTCGACAAAGTAGTAGTAGAGATGACCGACGACAATGCCGACCAGGTCCGGGATGGGTGAGTGGCCCATGACAAAGGAAAAGGCAAGCAGAATCCACGGCAGGTATGGCGCGGTGAACGGCATGAGGCCGAACAGATTCATGTGCACGTGCTCATTGCGACGTGCCCATACGTAGACGGTCATGAACGAGAGCGAGTCGCCGAGGAAGAGGAGGCCAAGAAACGGGGCGGCGGCGATCATGCACACTGCTCCAAACAGAATCATGTACAGCATGTCCGCAACTCGGCCGGCGTAGTGAAACTCCTCTAGTGTCCGGCAGTAGCGGATGAGAAAGTAGAGATGCAGGAGCATGTCCAGCGGGCCTGCCGACGCAAAGTACACAAACGGCGTGATGAGCCGCCACACCTCGCCGCGCATGATTAGATTCCAGTTAAAGTACAGCGTAAACGGCGAGATCATACCCAGCTGCGCCGCCCCCGTCGTCACTGCCGCCAATGTCGCCCAGGTTCTTGTCACCGGCGGAATGTTCCTGATCATCCCAATATCCCCACGTTCGTCCCCATCCAATTCCCGCATCCGTATCACCGCCGCCGCCTTTTGTCAGTCATGGACGCTGCCGCTGACCTCACCACCACGGACCGCAGCCACACGTAGGCATCCCCTCCCCTCCCCCACCCCCCACCCGGGT